ATCCTAGTCGCCTAAGTAGTATTCAATAACAACGTGGGGTAGCTTAGTAAACAACACTAATGGAGTAAAAACAAGAGTAAAAACACAATGACCCACTTTAGTATAGACAGACTATTATAAAAATGACATACCAATGCATCGAAACGATGTTTATACGACATAGAAATTATGCGTATTTAAAACGCATCGCTTGTCTAATAATTGTCTAATAAATAATAATTGCACGAAAAATTCTCCGATAATTAGCAGGTCAACCAACCAGAAATTGAAATTGCCTACTTACAAATAACAGTAAGCACCACGTCGACATCAAGTCAAATTAGGGCAAAGGAAATCGAACTTAATGTTCCACTTTTTCTATGACCTTAACACTCTTGCAGTCGATTTTATTAGGAACGGCATAGTTACAATTAGACTTCATCCCAAATTTCCGCAATCGTTCATTTCTACGTGTTTCAAAGAAAAATAAAAAGTTTGCCGAAAGTTTCGGGGTGATTTAAACGGATTTTATTACGAGATTTGAGAGTAAAATTTATTGCACCCCGATTCCATTAAAGATCAATATACTCGTAGATTGCTTGTAGGATTTCCCAGGAAATATATTCCTTTGTGCATTATTCGCTACAAATTTAGTTTAAAAATTGCTTTCATCTGCTTTTCGCGTTATTTGATAAAGGGCGTAAATATTCTATGCTGTATCAGGAGATGAAAAAATGGTATATACTCCAAAGTTTTTTTGCTTTACATTCATGAGAGCGATTTTATTTGCATTTTTACCGCAAATTCTGGGATGCAATATTTAATGCCGCCGGACACGTTCGGAATATAAATTACACAATTTCAAATTTTCATTTGCATTGAACAGTGGACTACATTAACAAGAAACAAATCAATTGTACATTTTCAATTAGCTCGAATTTCCTTTCCAGAGCATATACTTACGTGGGTTATACATGGACTATAAGAAAATTGAGTCTTTTCTAGTAACAACTAGGTTAAAATCAAACAGGCGGACAGGGGACGATTTTTCACGAAAAATCCGGAATGGTTACTAGTAGCGAGAGCTTTTGCTCACATTTAAATTCAACTTTCTTTTCAGTATAACGCGAATACCGAGTATGATTCTACAATTTGTGTTTATCACAATTTGACTTTAATACAACACTGCGGTTTGGTAGACCATTATTCACCAGTTGTTTTATACTGCTCTAAATAAGCAAATTGCAAATCTATTCCCTGGCTTCCAAATGATAAATGAACAAAAGAACGAAAGCTATATACTGTCTAAATCGAAAAAGGTACATATTACTCTCCTACTAACGTTTACCTCTACGGAAGAATATTCTTGCTTTATGTTAATTAGATTAGCTCAACGCATGTATCAATTAAGTCATTCTTTATATGTGTTATATCTAGGGATTGTAATTAGGAACATCTGTGGACCATCATTCGCTAAGTAAATTTTGTTGTTTAGCGGTTTAATAGCTAATTTCGTGGTTAGTGTTTTATAAAAACAACTCCGAATTATTAACCCTACCGATTTGCGTAGGTTGGTTCGTAATATCGCGTCTAATGAATATTTTATTACACTTTCTGCTTGGGGGAATTATGTAAGTATTTACCTGACAGGTGACAAATTATCCAGTTTCCGTCTCTTCTCGCTTAAATTCAGATTCCATAATAGAGTAGTCATTTTTGGAAAGCCACATTAGTCTTAAAAATTTATGATTAATTAATTACATTATAATTTTTGTATTTGGAAGGTGTCACATTTGTCGGACAGATTAATAGGTAACATATTATGTAATTATATTCCTTTTCGTACAGTTTGAAACATACAATATTGATCAATTGATATCTGGTGTAGTAAGGAAAACTTGTAACGAAGTTTCCGATTTGTAATAAATTGAATAGGTCCTCGTGGCATAATCTAACAATAAGGGTAAACTAGAAATAGAAAAAGATCGTAAGTGAAAGAAGATAGCAGTTCAGCTTGCTTTTTGATGTAACTTGAAGTTTGCGTTTTGAGCATCTATCATTACAGAACAGTGTATACTTAATTTTTTTGTGGCATGAATCCTCTAATTAGTCCCCACATTAAACAATAAGTTAAAAAGGTGGTCAGTCGCGACCGACGAAAGCGCATTTTCCCCGCACTGAATCAGTAATAACTCGGGAAGGAAGTGACCAATGCAAGTAACCTTTGTCGTTTTGGTATCTGGGCTGTACTCCACGACTACACCGCATACGAAAGAAAAACAACGAAAAAGCTTAAACTGGAGGACTAGTAGTGGGACAGACGGAGAACGTGCGGACAATAGCGTTCATTTTCCTTTTGGAAAATGCGCTAAAAAGACGATAATTGAAGTTTTCAATAACGTTTGCACATTTGCCGTTTTATAGAAATTACAATAACGAAAGTGACCAAACGATTCCAATTTTGATGACATTTCTGTTAACAAGGAAATAATTCTTGCATTTTGATGGAATAAATTTAAAATTACTCAAATTACCGTCGTACTCTCGTAGCACCAAGATTAATTTCCTGGAATATTTATTATTTTTTCATTTAAAAAACGTCTTTTGTGCAATTGAAGATGTAGGTAATTTAAAATTCTTCTAAATGAAATTTTCATTTTAAATCAAAGGTGCGCTGACTGAATCTAAAAATTTATACAGCGCCTTTAATAGGGGAAATAGATGTAGGCCCTATAAATCACCGCATGAGAAAAATAAGTGGCGATTTTAAACACTCAACAATTAGATCAAGCGAACTAATTCCTTATTATTAATGGCACGTCGTTAAGCTTCGAAGTGATTTCTCAAGGATGCGATAAAAAACCGAAACATTATTAGAGCGCGATTTTTCGGTAAAGCTGCGCGAAATTTATCTGCTAAGAACGTTTCCTCAGATTAATTAAAGCAATTTAACCGAGCCTTCGAACGGGAAGAAAAACAAGCGAAAATTTCTGTTTTTAAGCAAATATCTTCGCATTACAAATTTTTAATGCGTCATTTCAGAAAAATCTAAAATTCCTTTACATCGAGCTGCATTATTCATTAGACTGCACTAAATCAAGCATGGGCCCTATTTAGCGCAACTAGGTCATTGAGATTTTACAAGCGGCGAGGAATTTGAAAAATTTATTATCAGTTCCCTACATCAACATTAAATGGGGAAATCTGAGAAATAGAGACCTCGTTATGGAAACATGCGTCAAGGGTGCAATAACCCCGTGATCTACATTTATTATCATAAATATTAAATATGCATTACTATTGATAAACGTGCACGTTACCTACTCCTGTTGCCTAGTAATATTCTTATTAAACGCGACTATTTATAGATTAAGAGCTATTTCTGGAACAGGTATACAGTGAATGACCTCTCTTCGCATACTCTCGCTACCCGCCGACACCCTTTCGCAACCCCCAGGTCAAAGGATAGTTCTATTTTTAGACTCGCTCCAGTTATTTGTTTTACTCTGTATGACGTACGCAAAAACCGAATAAATGGAAAGCTCCGAAGTAACTCCAGTTTTTTGGGGGGGTTGATTGAATTTTTAATTTGTATCGCTTTAATTGGAACACATGCCTAATTTTTTTGTGTTAATTGGAAAATTACTGTCGCAGGAGCATATGAATTTGCAGACCTCCCTTACTATTCACAACACAATACTATAGATACTTACACACCACGATTGCCAGGTATTAGGCAAGAGGCATGCTGATAGCAAGGGATTTTTTGTTATTGTGTGAAACATTAACATCCAGTGGCGGAGAGTCAAACTACGCTACGTTGGACCTTCAGCAATAACAAAGTCACTCGACTGGGACACATTGTATACTTCATTATAATCCATTGTATGTATATACTGATTTATCCTGCGTTTCCATACAGATTATTACATTCCATGTCCCCCTTTAATTGCTAATTAGCTTTGGCGCCTTCAAAACTCCACACGAAGTTTTCTTTTGTTTTTGTTTAGGTTAGCGTTCAAGCGTTGATATATTTTTTTAAATTAGTAATTTTTCTTGGTTTTTTTTTTAGTTGCATTTATACCTGCGACGTACTAGTCTTTTGGATTCTTTTTATTTTTCTTAGATTATATCAAAATTCTCTTTTATTTCCCTTATACAAATTTTTCCGTTTCCATCCGTTATTTATTTTTCGTGTGTTCCTTTAATCCCTTACTATCCTCCGTAATTTCAGGCACACTTTGCATGCACTCTGCTTTCTACGTTCTGTGTCAGATTGTTTGTTTTTTTTGTAGCGTCCTCTATCGTTTTTTTAGCTAATTTTCCTTACGTTTATTTTCTCGCCTTTTGGTGTTTCCGGTTAGTGTCCGTTATTCGATTATCATCCTTCGTGCGTGCATGAGGTGCACAAAAGCAAAACTGGTCCACTAGTCGAAAGTCCCTCCGTGTCCGCAGTCGTGGTAGGGCTACTAGTCAATTTATTTTGAAAATGGAAATAACGTTCTTCCAATGGCAAATTTACAACAGATTTAGTTTCTACTAAAAATTCTCTCTCATTTTTAGGGGAATTTTTCCGTCCGTCTGTTCGTTTGTCCTCGTCTAACTCGAGAATGCAAAAAAAGGCAGCGATGTCAAATCTTCACCAATCGATTTGTACGAATTAAAGGATCGGTGCTTGAATATGAACCGCATTAAAAGTCGTGTTTCCGAATGCGCTGAATGTCAAAACATTCCTCCATGTACTTAAAATCGTATGGAATTCAATTACAGTTTTCGCAGTTATATATATTATCAAAATAACCTCTTACCCTAGAGTGTGAGGATTACTACAATTTTAACTTTACGTATTTACAATTTAAATAAATTCTAATTCTAGTGTAATTAATCATATTAAGTCCTATTTACAAAATTCTTTCCACTGTTCTTTATTTTTTGAATGTCTCATAGCTTCTACCCATGTTGTACCTCGAGATTTCAAAATTGCTGCCAGTTGATCGTTCCACGTCTTTTTTGGTCTCCCTCTACCTAGATTGTGACCGTGATTCCCAAACTTGTTTTACAGGCATGTTGTCCTGCATTCTGTTTAAATGCCCAAACCACCGCAGCTGTTGGTTCTCCACCCTCTGTATGATTGGTTCCACTCCGAGTTCCGCTCTCACAATTTCGTTTCTGACCCTATCTCTTCGTGTAAGGCCTAATATCCTCCTAAGGAATTTCATTTCCATGGCTTGAATTTTACTTTTTGAAGAATTCGTGAGATTCCATGTTTCTTCTCCAAGAAGAATCGGTCTATAAACCGTTTTATACACCGCCATCTTTGTCGTGTTTGTGATCTCTCGTTTTGTTAAAAATGTCTTGCTCAAGGTGTGATATAATTTTGCTGCATTACTCAGTCTTTCATTAACTTCTTCTTCCATATTCCCCTCTCGTTGAATTAGGACTCCCAGATATTTGTATTTGTCAACTTGTTCTATTCTTTCTTCATCAATTGTTATATCCATTGTAATATTTGTTCTTCCTATTACCATTACTTTTGTTTTTTGAGGGTTTATTTTCATCTTCCTTTTCTTCAGTTCTTCATTCCATGTTTTTAGATTTAGTTGCAAGCCCTTTTCACTTTTTGCACAAATTGTTATATGGTCCGCGAATACACATTCACTTATTTGAACCGGCCTTAGTTTATTGTACCCTATATGCACTTTTTTAGTTTTATCACATGTCGCTTTTATAATATCGTCCATCACTACTATAAATAATGTCGGGCTTAATACCCCCCCTTGTCTTAGTCCCTCCCTTACTTCAAATTTATCTGACTTCATGTTACTTATTCGCACATAATTTTTATTTTCTGTGTACACACTTATGATTCCTCTTAAGAGTTTTCCATTTATTCCTCTTCTTCCTAGACTTTCCCAAACAAGAGATTGCGATACGCTGTCGAATGCCTTCTCGAGATCTACAAATGCCAAATACACGACCTTCTGTTGTATTAGAGCTTTTTCTGTGATTTGTTTAATTGTAAATATGTGATCCTGGATGCACCTTCCCTTCCGAAATCCACTTTGCGATTCTTCCAGCTGATACTCTATTGCCTGTTTCAGTTTTCTTTCTAATATACTTTCGTAAATTTTTGCAGCCGTACTTAGCTGTGTTACTCCTCTGTAGATTTTACAATCTTTTGAATCCCCATTTTTATGTATCGGAATGATTATACCTACTTTCCAGTCTTCTGGAACTTCACCACTGTGCCAAGCCTTATTGAGTAATTGACATAGCATTTCCATGCCGTTGTTCCCTAGTCGCTTAATCATTTCAGTTGTTATTTTGTCGTGTCCTGGCGCTTTTCCATACTTCAAACTTTTCACTATGTCTACTACTTCTTCTATACTTATCTCGATACCCAAATCTCCTTCGTCTATGTTAGCCTGTATCCTTTCTTGTTGACTTTTTTCCTGCCGTTCGTGTCTATTCAATAGTTCTTGGAAGTACTCTTTCCATCTATCCATTATTCCTTTCTCATTTGTTATTACTTTGTTGTTTTTTCCTGTAACCTGCCTTAGCTTGTGCTCTTTTGGTTTCCTCAAATTCTTTAGTATTTTATAAAATAATTTTTGGTTGCCCCTTCTATTTTCTTCCATTTTTCTTCCAAATTCCTCCTTTTCGCAGTTATATTACCAAATGTTCCCCTTTTTCTGTACCCAGGTCGCACTTCACAAGTGCCATTATTGAAAGAATAGCTTTTAAATAATCCATAATTGGTTATAATTTGTATAGCCTTCCCTGTTTCCACTCAAGTCTCTTCCCTGTTTCCACTCAAGTCTCTCCTTTATATCCGGAATGTATTAATACGTTTCCGTTCCTTTATATGAATTTCTGCACTCATTCCCCAAATAATTTACATTTACTGAGCGATAAGTATCTATATTTTTCTCGCTTGAAATGTTGGTTACTCTTCTGTGACAGATTTGGAATGTTTAAGCTTTAACTGTAAAAATTGCACTAATTTGAATTTATACGCTCTCCCACCAGGCAATTTTTAAAAACGCGGTTCTTAAAATTTACGGACTTCCTTATACGCCTCCAAAACCTAATGTACATTTTTACTTAGTTTTATTTTCTGGCCGGTTAAAATTTAATATATTCTTCGGAGAATTCGCTCCCAGAGAATTGGCTCTCAAAAAAGAAAAATTATTTCTAGTAGAATGATCGTTCGCCAATAACTTCCTACAAAGAGAGATAACTCATGGATAAAGATATTAAAAAAAATTTGCAAGATATCAACAAAAATATATTTATTGAATCTTCAATAGTAACTAAAGTAACTAAACAACAGGCACTTCTTTTATATTATTCGACAACAAATTAATTGCAAATTATTTACTTCAAATCCTTGTGTAGAGGCGGAGGCTTCGATTTATAAATTAAATATCTAAATTCCGGATCAGCGGTGCCATCAATTGTCGTAATTAAAATACTTCCCATTGAATGGTTTTCAGTCGGCGTTCATTACAATACTACTATCCGGTTCGCAGTGAAGTATCTTCATGGATTATACTGTGATTATTTAAGGGTGACTGATTTGATTTTGTAAGTATCGCCTGTGAAAGCCGCTAAATGCCGAATGTTTATTTAACCTGAATCTAAAATTCGGACATTCACTACGTCATTGTGGTCGTAGTGAAAACCTTACGTCTGCTTGCAAGTTTTATGATAAAGACGGCATTGCACGTTCAAAACAGAAAAAAACGCCAAATGTTTAATCTAGAAAGGGAAACCTTGCGTTAATAATCCAGTCAACGCAGCCTGAAAAACCGCAAGCTTGCCGTATTTTTCCATTACCCGTGTAAATACGTACTTCGTTATTTAGCTACCTTTAAGAGGACCACACATAGAAAGATGGAATTATATTTATATCGATTATTTTCATCTTTGATTTTATTTAAATGGTGCAACAATTCTTATCCCTAGATGGTCCAACTCCTAAAGAGCGGAAAAAAATCAAATCCCTAGGAGCTTTCGTATCCATCCAGGTACCAAATGTCCATATGTCAGTATTAAGTGGTGGCAAATTTACAATTTAGTTTATAATTTCAGTAAATAGTAGTGTCGTTTTCGGTGTTTTCGAAAGCGAAAATGACAAAAATAATACCCAAAAAACATCTGTGTCCGATTTTTGCATTTGAGGTGACCAAGGTTTCCAAGGTTCTTTTGGGTAAGGATCATTTGAAAAGGCATCTTCGCGCTTTTCCGTCGGTCGCCAGCGCCGTTGCGGGAAACAGTTAACAGCCATTAGTACTGGCCCACGGGGAAAGAGCGCAGCGGCAGCACTGCAGCAGTTTGTTAGTTTGTTGTTTAGTATTGAATCCCGTCGGTGTTCCATGTTTTTAAGAGTGCACATTCTGTTTTTCGGTTTAATTCTAACCTTGCATTCCTTTAGGTATTTTGTAGACTTAAGATGTGCTCGTAGAATTACAATGTCCTTCAATTTTTGTACATTTGTCGGAGTAACAGACAATGCCAAACGAAAGAAAAAACGTAAAGGTGGTGGTTATTGCTTCTTTACCAGCTGCAGTGCATAATTTGGATTGGTCAACTAAAATCCTGCACTGAGAAATACAGGTTATTATATATCTCTTGGTGGAACTCCGCAGGACCTGAGGCTACTGGAACATATTTTGCCATCTAGAATGAAAGTAGGGAATTTTGATGGTCATTCTTCAATAACGCTATCCTTGTTCCTTACCGCAATGGTGCCAAACTGACATACGATTGACTATTTCGATTCACGATTCACTAAGTTCTCTTACAGTACCTAGTAGCATAGTATGGAGCCCAGAACTTCGTCGTCTTCAGATAGGTACTGACGTTCTGATCGTATGTAACTCGAACTGAAAGAACTTTGGATACTGTCTCATTTGCTTACAAAGGAAACAGACGAAACAATGAAACCTTTGGAAGAATTTACTGACGTTCTGTATGGCCCCAAAAGATGAGAAATCCATTACGAACGTGCGAAACGACTTCATTTGTAGAAAAAGTAAATTAGTACAGTTCCTCCCTCCAACGCAATCTGCATTGCATCAGCCTGCACTGCGGGCTACCTACTGCTTGTCTCCTTCTGAATGCCAGACAAAGTGGGCTGGAAACCATACTGAACCAACGAGCCACAAAGAGCTTCCAGTCCTAGGAAAATGCGGTTGCCAGTCCGCTTGTCAGAGCATGAGAGACTCATACTTGCGTAACATCCTTCCCTGCACCCTAAAGAGTTCTAACTGCAAAGAATATAAAAACATGTAAGCGTTTTATTAAAATGACCTTAACCTAAGATTTTTTTCATAGCTTCCCTTTGATGACTGATAACTTTTTACTCGATTTGTTTATTCAAAATAGATTTCGAATACATATTTCATATTTCAATGGTAATCGTGTAATAAATATCTTGCATTGCTCAAGTGTGATTTTATCCTAGTTCAAGTCACCAAATTTTTGTCTTACTGAATTAGGGTGAGTTCATCTACTAAATGAAGTAAAAATTTAAAAAAATTAAAAATGCCATCTAAAATTCTTTAACACAGAACTCAAACTGCAATTTTTATAAACAATTTTAAAATGTGTAAATTTCATTGATTCATAACGTTAAATGTTGGTTGGAATTTCGGATTAAGCCCAATTTCGATTATATTAGTTGAATTCGAGGACAATGTTGTATCAGAATTATGATTATTATTCCGTCAGGAATTATTTGCGTAGTATTTGTAAAAGTTTATCACATGTTTTTCTCCGGTTGTAGATAAGAAGTTTTCTAATCGCTCCAAGACAAGGACGTGTTATCGCGAAAGTTTAACACAGGTGTAGATTATTGTATAGGAAAGAGCAAGGAAGTAAATGGAAAGTGACATGGTTTTGAATAATCGAACGAGACGTTAATTGTGACTCTGTTTTAATTGAAACGTAGCAATATTTGAGCGCATTTGTTTGAAAAATTAATTTAAGGCAGTGAACTTTGACAACCTGCCAATATCCACGTTATATTTATGCGCAGCATACTTATAGCTTTGAAAAAGGGTACCATAAAGATGAGTCTTTGTATTTCTTTGACTAATAAAAGAAAAAGGTATAAATATAAGCAAAATTAAAAGGTTTCGTAATACCTGGTCCAAAAAGTAAGGAAGTAGAACCTGTTCTGTCACAGTTTCCACACTTTTTTGTCTTAACCACGAAGCTCCATGACAATAACTCCCTACCAGAGTGATGGTTGGCATTTTAAATTTCCATAAAAGGGTTTACAAATAGTTACTACCTTAGATGTGCATAACATCAATACAAATTCCCATAAGAACTACGGCATTGAAGGTTCTTATTGCAATAAAATTTTAGGGTATAGAATGTTGATGGCAAAGGCCTACATTTTCAAATTCGTTTGTGTACTTCGGCCCTCTTTTAACTGGCCTTTGCCGCTATAGATGGATTAAGCTAAATCGTTTTTGTTATCGTGTCTTCCAATTCATTTAACGTAATTTGAATTAAAAACCACACAAATTATGTAGAGAAAGCAGCATTCGTTTTGTAGTGGTTTGTTGGCGTTTATTTTGCAATTGTTTACTTGATTATTTTGTTCCTATAGTCCTACGAGTTGTGGGACAAGAATTATGTGTTTGCCGGCGCAATTGCAAGTCGCTTTGTTTTCTAAGATTACACCGAAAGTATTTGCTTTAAACTATTGTTCGTTTACGTCATTTGAATTGTGAATTCTCTAATTTGGCGTGAGGACATGTTAACTTGCTGCGGAAAACCTCCCTCATTCATTAGTTTAAAAAAATGCTTAAATCCGCAATAGGCTGGAGATGATCGTTTTACCCTAAAAGCGTGATGTAGTTAAAACACATGGTCGCATATCTTTATTGCTTTTTTTCTGTTTTATGACAATAGCCCAGTAATAAATTATTCGAAACACATCCACTAACAGCCATAATGTAGAATCGTTCGGAAAATGCGTGCGCGCTGAAAAGTACTACAGAATTATCACAAACTATAAAATCAGTTTAACGCCTCCATTTTGGCATCATTTTTTGCTTCACTGCGAAAACTTCATAACGTAAAAGGTATTCCATTTTGAAACTAATGTGAAGGGACTTGATAGAGTTATTACAGATAGACCGCATGTCAATAACAGCCGTTTTCGAATTTCCCTTACGTCGAAAGCTCTCGCTATACGAAGACATAAAATATTGTATAAAACGCATAAAGTCGTCGAAGCCCAAAAATAAAAACAAAGTTTGATAAAGCAATGACATTTGAATGTCTCCTTCTAAGGTCTACGTACTCGCGATTTCGCGAAAAATTCGTTTCATTCGAAGGAAAAATTTTTACAGAAATTCTATTGAAAATTGGTTGTTATTTTCATTTGATCTCGTACCCTTACAATGAATGCCTTAGATAAAAGCTCAAGTTTTTATTGGTATTCCATAAGAACAATCAATTGAATTTTCCACATCTGCCGAACGTG